ACTTGAAATATGAAATATAATTAAATAAATTAAAATATTAATTGAAATAGAATTAGTTAAAAAAAAATTAGTTCTTTGATTTAATTAAAGATATTGCTAGAAAAGAGAGAAAGGTGTTCGAAACTTATTATGAAATAGATGTTATGAATATCTGATTAACTTACCATACAGTCTACTTATGGAAGTCTTATTATATCTTGTTTTAATTTATTATCATTTACAGACTACACAACTTCTTAATACAGCAGTGCTGACTGGAAGACAAGTATCTCAACCTATGAAAGTTTTTGTTGTAAGTCAAGCAGGAAAAGTTGGCGATGTTACATTACAATCATCATGTCATTCTGCTGATGAATCTATTCTTAAAGTATGTGTAAATAAATATTAGTAATTTTAAAAAATTATACATTTTTAATATTTGTATCTGTTTATTTTACATAAATATTTATAATTTTAAAAATATAAAATATTCAAAAAGTATATTTGATAATGTAAATAAGCTAGTTTTAATTGCATTTTGTTTATTAAATGATTCTTTAATATTAATTAAAAACTTTAACTCACAAAGATGTAAATGTTCCACTTGACCTAAAAATATATTAGCTTTAGAATTCAAATTAATTGCTAGTAACAAATATAAATATCTTTCAATGACTTTTACATTCTATGTATTTTTAAATTTGCTAAAAATTTAAATTTTAGATTCTGTTTGATTTAACATTATTCATAAGAATTAGTTAATTAATTAAGACTAGAATTTTTTTCCTATTATTAATTACTACTGTTTAATTATTCATGAAAATATAAATAAGTCTATGGATTTTGTTAATTGACATCTTTAAGTAAATAACTTCATTTATTTCTCAATAATAACTTCTTAATATAGATTTCTTATTTTTGGTAATTTTGCAACATTTTTCAAATCTCTAAAAAGTTAATCATGATTTTTAGTTTATCGATATATGTTTATTTATTGAATTTTCTTATAGTTTTTGCTTAGCCATCTTTAATTATTTGATCAATTTAATTTATATAATCTTTATATATATCATTTTAAACTTTTACTTTTTCTCTTAAAACACAACATTGGCAAAATTAGAATGATCTATCCTTATGTTTTCTTTACAGTATTTAATTATTTTAATATCCCAGCTCTGTTATATATAACAGAGAGAAATTATGGCAATCAGTCAGAGTGACCCTCCCGAGATTGTTACATTTTTTTGGACTTGGGATCTTGAAACATTGAGAAATGCAAAAAAATTCAGGGTTTTATTTTCTGTATGTATGGATATTAGGGGGGTGTTTGTGTGTATATGTGTGTGCATGCATATGGCATGATTTTGTTCACCCTCTTTAAAACAACAGAAAGCACAGGCATTATTAAATGTCCTTGAAAATTTCTGAAATTTTACAGTGAGGTTTACAGAAATTTTACAGTGTATTAGGAGGTTTATGCTATTAAATTTCAGTAGTTAAGGTTGAGGGATTGGTGAGATAAAGGGCATATCCTGGCATATCTCGAGCAGGGTCAGACTTAATGACAATTTTACTCATTATTAGCATTTACAATTTTATAAAATCTATTCCTACCCTCAAAAATAAGCTTTTTGCTATTTTATAATAATTTAAAAATATAAAAAGTTTTAAATAAAATATTATAATAGATGGNAGTCGCAATACGGCCAGTGTGAACCTTTTCGGGATGTTTCTTTTCAATAAAATCAGTCACTTTCTGATAATACCTCAAGATTTCCTTTATTGAGTGAGATCTTTCCACGACGAAGCAAACACGCGGACTGAGACCAATGAACAGAAGTGAATAAAAAATGACGCTGCAAACTAATGTAACATATGGTGAGTTTTTGTTCATATCGCAGAGCAAAAATATGTTCAAATTTTGTGTCGTATCCTGAAAATTTCGTATGTTGGGGCATTTGTATCCTGAGGTACCACTGTACGTGAATAAGTGGGCAAAGTCTGTGGAGTGAGCAAGCAAACCTAGTCAGGGAAAAAGCTCGTTAGTAAGGATATATAAATTTTTTATTTTTGATAATTTATCATAGAAGTGTTGGTTTTACTAATTTTAATCAACTTGAATTTTATTTCAATATCTCTTTTTTTGTAAGATATGAAAAATTTAGAATTTTATTCTAAATTTTTTGTATTTGCTTAAAATTACTTTTAAAACTCATTTTTATTTAAATCACAGATAATTATATATTTATTTTATAAATAACACAATTAAACTTTTTCATATTTTAAATTTGCAAATAACACTGAAGTTTTTGTTGTTTTCTTTGAAAATATGATTGTAGTTATTGCAATTATTAATAATAATAAACTTAAAACTTTATTTTATTTCAAATATAACACTTACTTTTAACAATATAATTTTATATAATAAATATCTGGTGATAATTATATATGTATTAAAATTATTTTTCAGGTTTCACCATCGTGTACATCAGTTTATTTAGATGGCTCAGAGATTCGAGGCTCTCAAAATGCTTCTGTATTGGTGAAATATGGAACATATACTGGTCAAGCACACTTTTTAGTATGGATGCCTGAAATACCATTAATTGTTCGATTATCTGATACAAAATTAAGTCAAGTAAAAGGTTGGAGAACACCTCAGTTAGAAAGAAAGTATGTATTTTAAAAAAAATATATTATATCTATAGTATTGTAACCAACATTAAAATTTAATTTCTGTACACTATATAGGTACACAAATTTATAACTAAAACTGTAAAAAACTAATGCGATATATTTATCCAACGCATTAATGATTTCAGTATTGTGAAAAATACAGAAATACTGAAAATATACAAATTTAGCATAAGGAAGAACTATTTTCAGTTCAATTTACAATTTTTATTCATAATAGTTATTCATCATCACAATACTTGTGATGATGAATAACTATAATCTTATCTAATGTCTAATGTTTGGAAGTTATTATATAGTTAATATTCATATATATAAGGTGTTCAAAAGAGAATGCTACCATTTAAATTTCTATAATTATGTTAATTACAGTAATTTGCAATATACCCCAATGGATCTGAGTTTTGAGTAAAGGGTGTGCCTTGTGTATCTCTATCTTTTCAAGGTGTTTCACTGCCTGTCTGGAATTCGAGGCTCTAATGATCGAGGCAGCTTTATTATTTTTATGTTATCTGCAAGTTATTTATAGATTTTCAGAAGACGCAAGTCCGACGAGTTATGCATGCGCATTTCGGTTTCTGTTTAATTTGTATTTCACGCATTCTTTTTTAGTGTTCTTTTTAAATATTGGTTCAACTGAAGATGGTCGTTTAAAAACGGTTGAAAACGTTTTTATTAAACATTTTTATTGCTGGATAGTTTAAGGTTTATTTTATTTTATATTTGAATGGACTGTTTGAAAATAAATGATTATAATTGATAAATACAGTGGTACCTCAGGATACGAAATTAATTCGTTCCGAAACTGAGGTTGTATCATGAAAATGTCGTAAGGTGAATAATTTTACCCCATACGATTACATGTAAAACCAAATAATTCGTTCCAACACGAAAAACACGCTGAAATTAAAGCTAAGTAGTACAATTAAAAAAAAAATAACTATTGTAAGGAAAATACTGAAAAATGCATTTTGTAGTTTTAAATGTATAAATAACCATAATAGAATAACAACTGATTAAAAAAAAAAAAATGTCATGCTTAACATAATAATTTACAATAAAAAAATTATCCTTATTTCTTATGTTTTATATTTTGATTTTATAAATGCCCAATTCTCTATTTTTTCCTATGTTTTTATACAGAAACTATATAACCATTTTATTTTAAAATATTTTTATCATCATGATTTAAAAAAATTTTAAAAAATGCTTTATTAGAATAAATTTTATAGAAAATTACATAAGTTTGAATGTGTTTAGGTTCAAATTAGTTTTATGAATTAATAGATAAGAGCATTGTAATTACAGCAACATAACCAGGAATGGAGAGTTCATGTCAGTGTCTGTAGGAGTCTGTATTGGAGTTGGCAAAAAATTTACTGATTCTAATCCCTTAACTGACTTCTATATTTCATTATTTTTACTTTCTTAGAATATAACATAGAGAAAGTTTGGTGTTAGATCAAATTTTGGCCCACTTTTTTTTTTAATGTTTTGACACTCCATGAATCCAAAAATGTAAAAAGCTTGCATATAAAATTCTGTGTATTTGTGATGGTTGCTGTCATTGTCATTGTCTATTTTGAATTATATCTTAGGACTGACTGACAACCTAAAATTTTGAAACTTGGCAGGGTTATTTCTATATGTGGAACATTGCAATGTTTTGTAATTTTTGTCTTTTAAATAAAGTAGGAACACCACAGCTACAATCCTCTATCATTAGACCATCAGTCCATTGCTAATTAGTTAAATTATCTTAATGAATTACATTTCACTGATGAAATGGTAGACATTATTATATAAATATTAAGAAGTTTGTTTAAGACTTCACTTGCTGAAAATATTGATTCTGAAGTTAGAACAGGCAGAAAAAAAAAGCCAACTCTTCAGCCCTGAACATAAGGATAAATATGTTGCTGTAGAAACATAAAAAGTGTTAAAATATAACCAATTATGTGAAAAACTAAAATAAAAAAATTACAGAATTATAGATAGATTATCTGGTATCTACTTCCTCTGTATAAAATATTTAGTTTAAAATTCTTATAGCAATTTTTTTAAGGAAAAAAATCTGGCTGGCACCAGGAATTGATGATATATCAAAATTTTTATAAATACTCTAAATTGGGAACAAATGGACAAAACTGGTAGGGCAATTGAGCAGAAGTGCACAGAGGGAGATTTTAAACAAAAGGAACAAATAAAACATAGGTTGGGCTGAAGGAGAGCTATTTCTATGGGGAATATTGAGTGAAGCAAGGGGGTAGAGCAAAGTGATCTGGGGATTAGGCTGCCCTGACTGAAATTGAGAAAAGGGAGTGAAACAGGTGGAGGTTGGGCCATTTGTCTACATATTCTATTAATTATCATAAATTTGCCAATTTATTGATAATAAATCTGTAAATATTTTGTCAAAAATTTATAGATTGAACATATGAACATTTGAATGGACAAATAAATAAAAACAAGAACTTATACTTGAATGAATAAATAATATAAAATAAAATAAACCTTTAACTACCCAGCAATAAAAATGTTTAATAAAAACGTTTTCAATCGTTTTTAAATGGCCATCTTCAGTTGAACCAATATTAAAAAAGAACACTAAAAAAGAATGCNGCAGAATTGTCATTTTTTTTTTTTTTACAACACTACCAAGAGGCTGCAAAATAAGATGTGTAAATGCACATATGATAGAAGAAACTCAAACAGTTACTCAATTGATATATAATGCATATTTCTTGGATAATAATTAACATAATTCTTTTTGGAACAATCTGTATAGTTGTAGGTATAGTTACTCTATTTTTATTATTAACTAATATACAAATAAAATATATTTAAATATATAATTTCACATAAAATTAATTTTGATTTGATTAATTTTAAATATTGGCATGCATTAAATTCAATTTGCACCTTATAACTGCTGACTTTAGATTTTGTTCTGGATTTCAAACCTGAAGATGGTGATAAAATGTGTATGTGTTATTTAATTATGATTAAATACAAGTATCCCTTGATTAATGCAGTTAATTAATCCCTCAATGCTACCACATACTTTGTATATCAAAATTACATTAATCAAATATGATATCTATGTTAAGTAAAGATAACTTTTAAATGTAAAGATAAAAACTTTTAAAGGTAAAGATAACTTTTAAAACTTATGCCGTATATATAAAGGGATTGCTGCAATTAACTTCACTCATTAATCAAATTTCATGTCAAGCATGGGATACTTGTAATAAATGTTTGCTTTAATTATAATTATTTGCTATATTAAGATTGTTGTTTATTTTATTATAAAAAAAACTTATTTTGGAAGAAACTTTTAGCATTACTATATGTACTTTGGAAGCACAAATATACTTAGCATTATATTACTTATATAATATAATGCTAAGTATATATTTTAATTTCAAAGTTAAGTATTAAATATTCATGATTTTCACTAATCAAGCAATAAGTTAAATATTTAAAGTGAAAAATTTGTTTACTGACATATTATGCCAAATGTAATATAAGGAAGAAAATGTACTTAACTTGAGGATAACATTTTGAAATGTCAAAAGTACTTAAGCATGTATTTAATTCATCAAGTAAATAAATTTAACACCAAAAGACAGTACATTTTCTTCTTTAAATTGAAATTTTTTTTCTTTCCTGTAATCCTGTGGGTACAGGTTTAATGTGATCAGTGTTATATTACAGATAGTACTTTGTGTTTAACTTGTCAGTTCATATCAAGTATGCATATAGTTCAATTGTCTGATTAGTGTTAAGCACAGTAAGTATTGTTATAATTATTGTAATGTTCATTTATCTACGAACCAGAGCCTGTTATTGATGTGAAACCCAAATAAAAAATGAAAAGAAGAAAAAAACAGTACTTCACAAACATTTCTTCTTCACGTGAACAGTGATGCTATCACATATATACAGATCTAGCCTCACTGACACATGTGTCAACCACAAGGAGGAATTGACTGTGTCCATAGCATGGCAAGTACTAATGGACAACAACCTGTAAATCTCAACAGATGCTACCAGATAGAATGCGCATGCCCAGTAGGACAACATGAAGAAACACATATTCGAATAAACATTCAAATTGTGTTCTTATTTAGTTGCATTCAATCAGAAATTTGCCATTCACCTGAAGAAGAA